AGCTCTATGATAATGATGTCACCATCCATGGTTGAGCAAATAACCATATGTTTAAGCATGAGGGCAAGACGATCTTACTCCATCTTGCTAAACCTGAACCTAAAAGAAAAAGCCAGGCTAGGACGAAGGGTTCAACCGCTAAGTTCCATAACGTTTACCTCTTAACAAAGAGACAATTCATATAAGAAAGTAAGAAGGTTGATTTTGTTCTTGCTATCATCTCCAAGGTTGCTACCTTACCTACATTAGTAGCTAGTGATCTACTTGATGAAGTGATCCAACTCCTGAATGAGTTCAAGGATATTGCCCCATATGAGCTACCTCCTAATTTATCGCCCATGAGGGACATTTAGCATGTGATTAACTCAGTTCCTCAATCACAACTCCTTAACCTACCATACCACAGGATAAATCTAAAAAATAGGGAAGAGCTCAATCGATAAGTTAACGGATTACTTGATAAAGGATACATCCAGTGCTGTCCCTACCCTTTTGACTCCCAAGAAAGACAACTCTTGGAGGATGTGTGTAGAAAGTAGAGCCATTAATAAGATAACTATCAAATACCAATTTCCTATCCTTAGCTCGACGACATGCTTGACTTGATATCTTGATCTATTTGGTTCTTTAAAATTGACATTCATAGTGGATACAATCAGATCTATACTAGACTTGGAGATGAAAGGAGGACAACGTTCAAGACTCAAGATGGGTTGTACGAGGAGTTAGTTATGCCTTTTGCCTTAATGAATGCCCCTAGTATCTTTACGAGGGTGATGATTCACATGCTGGAACCCTTCCTAGGGAAGTTCTTAGTAATTTAGTTTGACAATATCCTATTTTTAGTAAGTCCAGAGACAACCATTTGAACAACCTTAGGTAGTATTTCTCACCCTTCATTAGGAGAAATTTTACCTTAGTCTACCTAAATGCTTCTTCTTACAGAATTAAGTCATCTTTCTTGATTTATTGTTTCTGAACATGGTCTATTTGCTGATTTTGTGAAGTTTCGTGCCATCCAGGAGTAGCCTAAACCTCAATCACTGCATGAAGTGTGGAGTTTTCATGACTTAACATCCTTCTATCAATGTTTTATATGATATTTTAGTTAAATAAACTCTAGTGGACCCTTGTTGCACCCTTATGCTCATGTTACCTAATTTTAGTAAATGTTTTGAGGTTGCTCGTGATGCTTCTGGAGGGGGAATCAGAGGAGTACATAGTCAAGATGACCATCCTATCGCCTTCTTCAGCAAGAAGCTTAATGACGCTAAGCAAAACTACTCCATGTATGACAAGGAGTTCTATGTCATAGTTTATTGTCTTGAGCATTGAAAGTATTACCTCCTGCCCCAGCCCTCTATTCTGACTACTAGGCACTAAAGTTTCTTAGCTCACAAAAACATTTGAATGCCAAACATGCCAAATGGGTCGATTTCATTCAAGATTTCACCTTTGAGGTTAAACATTGATTGGGAGTTGAGAATAAGCGAGTTGATGCTCTTAGTAGATGAGTTCATCTTCTCAATACCACGATGGTTAGCGTTGTTGGTTTTGAAAGGTTAAGAGATAAATATGCAGCATGCCCTAATTTTAGACTCATCTATCAAGAGGTTTTGAATTGGAACTACCATGACCATATGGATTTCTTAGTCAATGATGGCTATCTATTTTGAGGGTCTAGGTTATGTACTCCTCGTACATCATTGTGTGATTTTCTCTAATAGGAATTAAACGCTAAAGGCTTAGCTAAACATTTTATTGTCTTGAAGACCATTGCCTTAGTGGAAGATAGGTTTTATTGGCCTTCCCTCAAGTGCGATGTCACTCAGATCCTTTTCCAATGCTGCACTTGCCATACAATAAAGAAAAAGAAGAGGAATATTGGGTGGTATACGCCCCTGTCGATACTTGAGGCACCCTGGAAAGACATTAGTATGGATTTTTTGTTAGGGTTGCCTAAGAAAGCATGAGGACATGATTCCTTCTTGGTTATAGTCGACAGGTTTTTGAAGATGGCCCACATCATACCTTATAGCAGGACTACTAATGCCTCTCACCTTGCTGAGTTGTTCTTTAAAGAGATTGTGTGTCTTCATGGTCTTCCTAGTACCATTGTTTCAAATAGAGATGTTAAGTTTGTCACTACTTCTGGAAGACCCTTTGAAAACTCTTCGGCACCCAACTGAAGTTTTCCTCATTTTTCCACCCTCAGATGAATGGTCAGACAGAAGTGACCAATTGCAGTTTAGGCGAGCTACTCTATAGTTTAGTTGGCGATAAACCAAGTAATTGGGATTTAGTCTTGCCTATAGCAGAGTTTGCTTATAATAACTCTATTAATCGATCTATTAGCATGAGCCCTTTCTAGATAGTCCAGAAATTTAATCCTAAACAACCTATTGACTGTGTACCCATTTCCTTATCTACCCGCCCTTCTGAGTCCACTGAGACCTTTGCCTGTCGTCTTCACGATGTTGATGCTGAGGTCAGGCGTAAGCTAACATGGAGTAATGAGAAGTACAAGGTAGTTGCAGATGCTTATCGTCGTTACCAAGACTTTATGGTAGGAGACTATGTCATGGCACTTATATGCCTAGAGCGCTTCCTAAGATGACCTTATAAGAAACTACACACGTATGCCTCGGGCCCATTCCGTATTGAGAAGAAGTTAGGGCCCAGTGCTTATTTGTTCGAGTTACCTCCAGACATGTCTATCAGTGCAACTTTTAATATTGAGAATATTATTCCTCATTGGGGTACTTTTGAGTCGCCTCTTTTGTGTTCTGATGATTCTGCAGGTACCTAGCTCTGCCATGCCTCAAATCCACCATTGCCAGGTATTCCACTGATTGCTGAGACCATTGATGTTGTGATGGATGAGCAGATACTTTTGAGTCCACTAAGTCCCATTCGTCACTTTCTAGTTCATTGGAAAGGTCATGTTGACTCAAATGTGATATGGATTACCGAGCACAAGTTTCATCATGTGGACCCCCCCTTTTTCAATGACTACTAGCTTTCTAACTCTTAGGTGGCGAGTTCTTCCAACCAAGGGGAATTGATGTAGGTATTTAGGATTTTTTTTGTTATTTTAATTTTAATTTTAATTTTTATTGTTTAGTCTATCTTAATTAGTTATTTATTTTTGTAGTTAGTCACTTTGTGGACATTTATCTTAATCCCACTCTCCCCCACTTCTCATTTTCAGATTTTTTATTATTGTTTTATTTTTATAATTAGTTTAGGATATAAATATTAGTAGGGTTTCATTTTGACGGCAGAATGCATTATACGATTGAAATTTACAAGCTTTTCTCTTTTAGTTTTCTCTACTTTCTCTTCAGTCTTCCTGTTTGCTTTTAATTTCTTTTCTTTTCCTCAATTTCTCAATTTTTCTTCTTGTTTCACATCACTTTGCCTTTTTTTGGACTTATATTTGGTGGTATAAAAGTCTTCTAATAGGTAATACAGAATGCAAACCAAAGCAACAAATTGGTTTGAAAGTAGAGACGTGAGAAATTAGTGTAGCAATCAAAGAGAATAGGAGTTCATAAGATCATATAGAAGCAAAAATTGGGATTAAGCCCTCAACTAGGGTGGATCATTAGAATTGGATTTGATTCATTATCTATTAAGATTGTATATTTTTACGATAACTCTGAAATTTCGAATTATATGCACGCAAACCCATTAAACTTTAAGTGAAAACTAATAATGTTGGAGATAATTAACATGTTGGTGGTGGGTTGTGACTTGGGGGGTTGGAACTTGGAAACATAGCTTTGACTAGTAAAATTCCAAGTTGTTTGTGTGCACGACCCAAAAAATTCTTATAGAAAAAAATTATATTTTAATTATATTCTTTTAAAAATATATAGCAAATAATGAATTCGTTGGGGAAATACATGCACTACATGCATTTGAATCTAATCAAATGTAAAAGAATACAATATAAGTAAATGCTCTATCATACATGCATTTGAATGATTAGAATTTTAAATCTAATCATATTTACCATCCTATAAATCGTAACGAAAAGAAATTTCCAGTTTTATTTAAATTTTTGTCAACGTCAATAATTTGTTTCTATAAAAGGTCAATTTACTTGGGTTCTTCTACAAATCTATGGGCTCGGTTTCTTTAAGAAAGATTCACGTACAATGCACCTAGTAGCTAGATTCATTTTATTTTTTATTTTGGAAAAATTTATTAACTAATGTCACTAATGACATTAACCCTTGTGACTTAGCACCAAAATGCTACCTCCGAAATTTAATTTATAGTTCAATGCTTCAATCTGGAGTACAAGCTAGATTTTATATTAAGAATCGAATGTGACAACTTATATTTTGAGACAGAAAGTATTTTCATTTTACAAAATCTTAAGAGACAGATTTATTAAACGTTTTGTTGATAACAACTTTGTATTTTCATTTCACAATGATTAATACATAGTGCTCATCACCAAATGTAATCAAAATTATTCAAAATTCAATATGGATGGTTAAGATTTAAAATTTTTAATTTACAATTTTTTTAATGATGAATTTGTTTTTTTAAGAAAATTAGTTATAAGATTATTTTTATTTTAAATGTTGTAACCTATTAAGATAAAAAAATTATTTAAAATATAAAAAAAAATTTCTATTAAACCTGGACCATTTAAAATCAATCCAGATGGCCTGAATTGATGTTCATTCTCTCCGGTCTACATGCCATGTTCTGGAAGCCCAAATAATTGGCTTCTCTAGAATCATTGCGTCCATAAAAATATTTGAAATACATTGAATCATTAATGACATATACATTGAATAATTTTATTCAGCACCATACAAAGTATTTGAAATTTAAAATATGGGATAGAAATACCACGTCAAGATTTCCAAAAATTACAAAGGGTTTCAACCATAAATAAGACGTCCTAGCGATTCAGCTATGAACAAATAACAAGTACATCTCAACCATTCTTCCTCCAGCTACTCAGACAAAATAAAGAAATGGTGAACATGAGCACGGGCGTGATCTTGAGCATCCCAATGATCGACATGCAGAAATTTCCAGATGAAGAGGAGTACAAGAAGCTAAGAGAGGCATGCGATGAATGGGGATGTTTCAGAGTGGTAAACCATAGCTTACCCAAGAGCTTAATGGAGGAGATGAAGAAGGTGGCAACGTGTTTGCATGATCGTCCAAGAGAGATCAAGAAACGCAATGCTGATGTTGTTAAGGGAAGTGGCTACACATATCTTCCTATAAATCCACTCTATGAAAATATGGGTTTTCATGACTTTGGATCCTCTCTTGATATCGATACTTTCTGCTCTCAGTTGGATGCATCCCCTCATGACAAGTTAGTATACAAATACTAATCACTCTATGTAAAATGAAATATAATTGTTGACTAGATCATATAATGCATGCAGGGAAATCATGAAGGCATATGGGAAAGCAATTCAAGAACTAGCGGTGGACATAGCCAGAAAGATAAAGGAATGTGTTGTGGGGTTATCAGAACCCGTTGATTTTCAAGACTGGCGATGCAATTTTAAGATGAACAAATATAGCTTCACCCCTGAGACTGTAGGACTCTCAGGAGTCCATGAGCACACTGATCCAGGGTTTCTCACAGTTGTTCAAGATGATGACCTTATTGATGGTCTTGAAGTCTTACACCTTCCCTCTGGTTCCTTTATTCCAGTCCCTCCTTTATCTGGCACCTTCGTTGTTAATCTCGGGGATGTTGCTCATGTAAATTAATCTCTCTTCACTTAACATCCATATATTTCCTCTTTTATGCCATTCATCACTTTTCTCTCTATCTCTCTTTAATTTGCATTACACTTCATGATTGTGAATCTATGTTTTATTAACATGCTTCCCTTTGAATTATAAGAGGTAAGTAGTTACTTGAGGTTGAACCTTTGACCTTCTGCCATGAAGGGTAGATTACATGTCACTGGGCCATAAAGCCATTATCTTATTCACATGCTTCTCTACGTTGTAGATTTGGTTAGAAAATGATTATTATTATTTTAAATGAATGATGTAGGTGTGGAGTAATGGAAGGTTTCCAGGTGTGCATCATCGTGTGCTATGCAAGGAAGGAAGGACCAGAATTTCAGTAGTGGCAAGTTTGCAAGCACCAAGGCATAGGGATGTTGAAGTTGCAAAAGAGTTTGTGGACGCAGACCACCCCCCTCTCTTTATGCCTTTCACTTTCGAACGTTACATTGAGTCTCGTTGGGCCAAAAATATGAGAGTTGGTGAAGCGCTTGACTTCTTGCGTGTTGATCACCCTTCAAATACTGTTTCAGCTTGATGTGCTTTAGGGGAGATGAGTAAGAGAGAAATAAAATAAATACTACCTCTTGAGCCTTTTCAAGAGAAATAAGTTGTAGTTAAGTTTTAACTAGAACTTGTTCCTTTATAAGTAGGGTTGGAGGTAGGTAATAAGTTTCATCATTATAAGTTCTTTCTTAGTGTTTTTATAGTGTTGCTTGGGGTACTTTATGATGAACTCAAAGAAAGGGATAGAGGAGTGAAGCTGGCCCCCTATCTTAGACTCATGTGCTAATAAATAGGATAAGACCCACTTCTTTCTTCTTATCTCCTTATATATATATATATATATATATATATATATTACAATAATAAGAGTTCAATAATCTGTAATCTTGCTTTGCAATTATTATATATTATGTTTCATTTTTATACATCCTTCTCACTAGCCACAATCTATATTATTGTTTTTCCCCAAGGAACCACAATTTATACCATCAAACACTTGATAAAATAATTAGCAGAATTCCCGCCATATATATCCATAATCCATGAAGAAACATGTCTGTATGGTTGAATGAAGCGGCGACTTAAGTCGTTGCCATAGTGATAGTGGTTGAAAACTTTCAGCAATGACTAAAAGGTTGCCATTGAAAGATACTTTTAGCGGTGACTTTTAGAAGTTTCAGCGGCGACATTTGTCGCCACTGAAAGTTACTTTTGGCGGCGACCTTATTGTCACTGCTAAAAGAACTTTTAGTGGCAACAAACTATCGTTGTGAAAAGTGACTTTCAGTGGTGACTTTTTTGTCGCCACTGAAAATGATGCCTAAGAAAAATTGGCTTTAATGATGCCATATCATCACTGACCATCTCCACCTCATCACTGCCAGTCGCCACATCATCACTGACTGGACGTCACGTCATCACTAGCTACCTCTATGTCATCGTCAGCCACCTTCACATCATTGCCACATCACCACTCTCATGCCACGTCACCACTCAAATATTTTCACCTTAAGTGTGTCTTCTTCAAGATTCGAACTCGTGACCACCTCCTTTCATGTCCAATCTTCTTGCCATTGAGCTAGATTGAATTTGTTTATTATTATTGTAAAATAATATATATATTAATAGATTAGACTTTCAGTGGCGATATTAAGGTGAAAATATTAGCATTTCCAAATGACTTGAAACTTCAATTCTTGGACCAAAATAACCTTTCACAAGAGTAAACTACATAAACTCAAAAATAATAAGGATTAAAATCAAATTATACATAATTATATCAAAGAGTGTATAAAATTCTAGGAAGATGTGTGGAAGTAGCATGAAATTCTAGAGGTTAACACAATTGTAAAATGAACACATACATCTTCAACCTTGAGGCTATAGGGCCTATAGGAACCCATGAGCACGCTAATCTAGGGTTTCACTTAGTTGTTCAAGATGATGACCTTATTAATGGACTTGAAGTCTTGCACCTTCCCTCTGGTTCCATTGTTTCCGTTCCTCCTTTATCTGGAATCTTTGTTGTAAATCTTGGGGATGTCGCTCATGTAAATTTAGCTCCCTTCACTTAACATCCATATATTCCCTCTTTTTCATGCCTTTGATCACTTTTTCCCTGTCTCTCTTTAAATGCATGACATTTCATGTTTGTGAATCTAAGCTTTTATTAAAATGCTTTCTCTTCGAATTATAGAAGGCAAATAAGTACTCGAAGTAAGGGCCAGATCGAACCCGTGATGACCTTTCACCATTAAGGGTGAATTACATGTTATTGATACTACTAGAAAAAAAAAAGTCTTTTACACCGGTTAGAATAGGCATTTGACATTGGAAAGACGACCGGTATAGAAATGGGCGGCATTAAAAATCCAATCTTTTTACACCAGTTGCAAAACCAGTATAGAAAATATTATTTTTAATATTTGTTGTTATTCCAACCAATGTAAAAGAGAAAATTAAAAAAATTAAAAAGATCTACAATTTATGAGATCTAATAAAATCCTAGAAGAAGCTGTGATTAAATCGCAGCTTCTTCTAAGATTTTACCATATCTCAAAATATTCAGATCTCATAACATTGTAACAAACAATTCAACAATCTAACAAATAAGAAATAGTATAAGAGTAAAAGCAATCATATCTAATAAGATCGTAAAAAAACTAATCAAGTTTTTCAGAAATGATATTGATTCATATTGGTTCATAGTCTAAAAGTATATTTGTTAGACAAAGTTCAAAGTTATTCATGAAACAGAAAAATAAACAAAGAGTATAAACTTAAAACAAATATAACGGCAATAAAGATGAGTATAGATCTAGGAAAAATATGAGCATTTAGATGACAACATAATGAGAGCTTGAGATAGCATGGATCTAGATATGATGGACACAAATCTTGATGTCATGAGCATAGATCTGGATGGACAAGCACAAATTTGGATGGTGTGAGGATGGATCTCTACCTAACAATCATGGAGAAGACAATGAACTTGAAAAGGATGAAGCACTATAAAGGAGTCAAGCACGAATAATACATCATAAGACAAAGGAGAAGAGCATGAAATAGAGGACTAGCATTGAGATTATTGATGAATGAAGCATAGAAAGGAGATTACAAGAGAACTTAGAGAGATTACAAGAGAATGGAGTTTGGTTTAAAAGAGGTGGCTGCAAAATGAAGTAGATTAACCTTTAGGTTTTAAATCACCATTTTAGAGCTTGTAAATATTATTTTTTAAAAAAATATTTTTAAAACTTTTTATACCAATTGTAATAAATATCTGGTGTAGAAAGTATATTTCAAACCGATTGTATGAGAAACCAGTCTAAAAAGTTATAAATATTATTTTTTTAAAATATATTCTTAATACTTTTAATACCAGCACAAACAATCAATGTAAAAAGTATATTACACTGGTTGTGTGCAAAGCCAGAATAAAAATTTATCAATAGTTACAAAAATGTTACCAGTCATATTTTTTATACCATTACTGTAATAAACAGTATAGAACTGTGGATTAGGTGGTGTAAAAAAGATTTTTTCTAGCAGTAACTCGCAAGAACATCATCTTATTAACACGCTTCTATACGTTGTAGATTTGATTAGAAAATGATTATATCTTTTTAATGAATGATGTAGGTGGGGAGCAATGGAAGGTTTTTAGATGTGATTCATCATGTGCAATGCAAGGAAGGACCAGAATTTCCATAGTGACAAGTTTGCAAGTGACAAAGCAAAGGGATGTTGAAGCTGCAAAAGAGTCTATGGATACTGACCGCCCACCTCTCTTTATGCCTTTTAATTTTGAACTTTACAGAGTCTCGATGGTCCAAAAAACATACATGGTGAAGCCCTTGGCTTGCTGCGTGTTCAAGCGTCCCCTGAAAACTACTTCAGTATGATGTGTTTTAGGCGAAATGATTTGGAGAGAGATAAACAAATACTATCTCTTGAGCCTATTTGTTAGAAATAAATAGGCTTAGGAGGCAGTAATAAATTTCATCAAAATAAGTTCATTTTTAGTTTGTCTAGAGTGTTGCTTGAACTACTCTATGATGAACTTAGAGAAAGGAAAAAGAAGTGAAGTTGGCTCTGCCCTTGTTAGACTTAGTGCTAAATAGGATAAAACCCACTTCTTTCTTTCTGTCTCTTTTTATATTTCTAAAATAAAAGTTCTTCAACAAAATGTAATCTTGCTTTGCAATTGTTGTTTATTTTTATCCATCTTCTTACGAGCTACAATCTATATTGTACCGCAATTTATACTGTCAAAACACTTGATAAAATAATTAAATCTAAATAAAGACGGCTTTACAATATAAGAGGAAAATTAAATTAATTCAAATTTGATGTTAATTAAACTGTTGACCATTGTAGAGAAAGTTGATTATACTACTACAGCATAAATTTTTTACATCTGTTTTGAAGGAATTTTTACTTCTATCTTGGGAGAGACAGAGAAAAAAAGGAACGTAATAGATACCGCATCCTCTACTTTTGTTTCAAACAGAGGAGAAAAATGATATAGTTCATGTTTGTTATAAAAAAAAAAGTAAAAAATCATACTATTTACTTATGTTTTGTCAAAACAGACAAGAAAAGTGCCATTTTTCTTGTCTGTTTTTTCTAGAACAGAAGTAAATATAATGACTTTTTACTTCTGTTTCCAATAAAATATAAGTAAGAAATGCCTATTTTTACTTCTGTTTTTGGAAAATAAAAGTGAAAAAGTGTTTTTTTTTAAAATATTGAATTTCTTACTAGAAACTAACCTACAATTTAATATACAACAAGAAAAAATCGTATTTCAACAAATCATCAAATAGTCAATAACGTAATTCACATATCATTTCATAAACAAATAGTCAAGTCCACAACTGCCCAAAACAAAAACTCCAAAAGCTAAAGCTTACCATCAGCATAATACCCCAAAAAAAAAAAATTAGAATCTGAACATCATAAGCTAAAACATAAAAGCTCTATGGACTTCGTCTATCAATATAAGACTACAACAGTTGAAGAAGTTGTCATGCCAAAATGTCTTGAAAGGAATCAATCTTTTCAATGGCGTAGGAGTCCTCATTATAAAAAAATCTACAAATTAAGAAACAAACAAACTTAAATCCAACAAGAAAATAAAATAAGCAATTGAAAAATTCAACTATAAAAAAGCCAAAATTATCTGCGCTAACCTCTTCCAATTTTTTAGCACTAGTGACGTTAGTTCAGAATATATTTAAGTTCATTACATTGCATAGGCATGAGTGTTATCACAACATAACTAATTCATTGGAAGGCGATCAAGGTTCATAAATAAAATATAGTGCTCTATGAATTAATCACCTCTGACTTGCCATCGATAAAATATAGTGCTTGGAGAGAAGGTATAAATCAAGGGTCATGTGTTATGATGAGTGGAAGTTTCCACAAACAATGTTACAAGGAGGAAATCGAAGACAGAATGTTACATATTTTGCATTTTTGTGATAGTCATATCAAGAACAAGAATGGAGTACCTTGAAGTTGCTA